CAGTGAGAGGCCCCAGTGCCGAAAAAAAAAAAAAAAAAAAAAATACTACGAGAAACTCTTAAGATCCTCACTTTATAGATGAGGAAATAGGCACAGGCAGGTGGAGTCAACTGCCCAAAGTCACAGAGTTGACAAACTGTGGACCCAGGAGTCAGACCCAGGCCATGTGGATCCAGAATCCCACACTCTTAATCCCCCTGCTGTGTAGTCTTTCACAGGTGCTGGGCAAGATGGAGTGTGTGTGTGTGTGTGTGCGCGTGTGTGTGTGTCCAGGTTAAAGCTTAGTCAGATGTGCCAACTTAAGCAACTCTTTCTGGTATGTTTATTCTCTCTGGGAGCAAATGCTCACTCTTTCAGATTGTTTCCACCATCTTTTCTGACTTTCAGATGATACCCAGATCTAAGGGGGAGAGGGGCTGAGGTTCGGTGGTAGAGTTAAGAGGTGGGGTTCATGATCATGGTATCCTTTGACCCTCTACTCTCCAAGGGGATGTTGTCCATTTCCCATCTGCTGGATGGCTAACCTGATGATAGCCAGCGATGAAAGCTGCAGTTTGTGGCTCATTCTTTTCCCTCAGGCCTTCCACCTGCTGGTACTCTCCGCTGTCTTGGTCTCACCTGAGTTCCCATTAATGCTACATTTCAGGGATCCACTGAAGATTCTCTTTTAGTTCCATCCTGAGTTGTCCACTGCAACATTTGCTACAATGCTACCTCACCCAGTTCTAGCTGGCTAGTTCCAGCCAGTCTGCCCACTGTTTTGGGGCCCTATCTAAACATACACGGACCAAGGCTGGTTCAGGAAACTTAAGTATCAGGACCTCCCTCTATTTGCCCCACAAAGTGGATGTGACCCTGTGTTAAGTTAGTTTTGCGGTGGAACACTGCCCAAGAAATGGTCTTTTTCTAGAGTCCTAGTTGGGGGAGGAGACATAGCCCCTTCTACCCTTGTTGTTACCCTCACCTTTCTCTAAGCCAAAGCTCTCTCTTTCCTTTCTTTCTCCTCTTTCCATCTTTGCTCTAGGCTGGAAATGTGCAGGCTTCTCCTGCATCATAGTTTCTTTTTTTTTGTCCTGACTCAAACCTGAGCCTTAAGGGTACATTGTGGGGACTGGGATTTAAAAAAAAAAAAAAATTGGGAAAGCTCCAGGAGCTGAGTCTTGCAGGTAAGGTAGTTAATGTGCTAAAGAGGCATAATGGGAGGAAGTTAGAGAATCTTTTCTTGGGGCTGTAGCAAATCCTATTTCGCTTGTCCAAAGCTGAATATCACCTTATTCTTTCTCTTTGCATTCTTTTAGGAAAAAGTCTTTATCTCTTTATACTCCTCCAAAGAATGCTTCGAAATAACTAGGGAAAAGTCATGTCAAAGTCAGAAAGACAAAAGAGAAAAATATACTAACAATTCTCAAAATATGACCCCATCACAATGGGTTGTTTCTCTTTCTAGTAAACTTTGTCAATATGCGTCATTGGTTTGTTTGTTTTTCAAACAAACAGCTCTTGGATTTATTTCTCACTTCTGATGTATTTCCGTGTTCTATTTCCTTTATGTGTTTTTTTTTTTTTTTGGTTTGTTTGGTTTGTTTTTTCCTTTGTGTTTTTGTAATCTTAAAATATCATTCCTTTTTTTACAACTTAATTTTTTTTTTTTTTTTTTTTTTGCGGTACGTGGGCCTCTCACTGTTGTGGCCTCTCCCGTTGTGGAGCACAGGCTCCGGAAGCACAGGCTCAGCGGCCATGGCCCACGGGCCCAGCCACTCCGCGGCATGTGGGATCTTCCTGGACCGGGGCACGAACCCGTGTCCCCTGCATCGGCAGGCAGACTCTCAACCACTGCGCCACCAGGGAAGCCCCAACTTAATGTTTTGAAAGTGAATGCTTCATTTATCAATTTTTCCCTTTTTCTTTGTAACAATATTTACTACTATGCATTTTCCTTTGAATGCAGCTTTGCACCTGTTCTGTAAATTTGGATACATAGTGTTTTGGTTTTTAAAAATATATTCTAAATTATTTATAATTACATTAGAACATTTTAATTTTACGTCCATAGTTCTTTAGGAAAGTGGTCTTCCCCACCCCCAGAGTAGCAGTTTTAACTTCCTTCAAGAACTTTTCCTTTGCATTCACAGCTTGTCTGTTTGTTGCAGGAGGCCTAGCTTTCAGCCTGTCTTTTAGGAGAGTACTTATAAATTTCCAAGTGGTTGGAATTTTTTTCCTTAAATATTAATTTAATATGTGTTCTTAAATAATATTAATTTCATTTTTGATTATAAAAGACACCAAATAAAATCCAGCCATAATGTTATAAGTGAGCTCCCAAATATTCAGTCATTAGACATGAGAGATTGGATTATTGT